CGGAAAATTCCGACAGGACGAGAGGAGGGAGCGCTCCGGGGAGTCGTTGTTCCTTGATATCGACGCAGCGAGCTCGAAATTGCAATGGCAGACTTTTATTAGCGTTTCAACCAAGCCGCTCGCCCACGACCGACTCGAGCTGGCTGGCAGGTAGTACAATAATTGCTGGCTCGTGCGATATTACTGTCATCTCGTTCCTTGGCGAGCAATGAACGAGCGAGCACGAACGTTTACTTCTCGCTGATTGTACGGTGTGTTTAAGTGTACCTGGTAAAACGAGAAATTACGGCGCACGAGCCTTCCGGATTAGGCACGGCCCGGGTATTCGCCGCCTGTCTAACCCTTCGACCGAATTATGCGTCGGATAGACCCTCAAGATCGAATTCGTCAATTCCCTGTCAATATTCTGTTTTTCCTCGTCCTGTTTGCTCTTCACTGTTTTGTATCGCAGTGCCCGGCCTATTATCCAAGCGCCGATAAAAGAAAACTTGTCTCGAGAAGCGGAGGAAAGTAATAGGAAAGTCGGCGTATCCGTGAGACACGTTGCCGACCATTCACGGGTGAAAGATATTGCGGAGAGTTCAAACGAGACTGCAGCGATGAAATTTCCGTTGTCGAAATTGAAATGGTCTTCGTGCCGTGCGCATCGATCCGGCCGGTAAATTCTTATCCCGCCGGTTATCTTGTGCCTCCATTACGACGTCGACGGCCAACGTCGGGATGTCCTGCGTTCGCGTGATTCTTATTCTCATCGCGTCTAATCGCACGAAGATATTACGCATGCAAACCGCCTTGATTATCCGTAACTACGACAGCGGAATCGCCGTTCCCATCCGCGAGATATCACGCGGCAGCAAACGCTGTCGCGCTGTAAGCGCAATAAAATCCGACCGACTGGTGGACACGGCGATGGTTCGGAAAACACGGGATTTTTGATGCGTCGCATAAACGAAAAAGCGCGCGCCCGCGACGGGGCCGCCGGCGGTACAGAGATTAAAAGTTGGACATTTTTATACCTACTATTTTCATTAGCGTAATAAACGGCAGGATTTTCCGCGGAGAGCTCTATTTACGCTAAAATCGTTGCGGCGGAAACTTGGGGAGGAATTTTTGCACTTCCGCTCCACCCTTCGCGTGCCGCCGAGCGCGAAACTCACGGGCAGAATTTTCGGGGGGAGAGGAGGGGGCAGGTGTAGTAATTAAATTTACTTTCTTTGCGCTGCTTAGACGGTACAAGAAATGGCGCGAGGGACTCGGCGTATTTTTTTTAGCCATCACCTTATCGTTTATACGCGTCCCGCGTTCGCCATGTCACGACGCATTCGCTCATCGGCGAACGGCGCTTCGCAATTTTGGATACGCGTCCGTTTCCATGTTGAACGGTTTACCTTCTCATTGTCTGTTTGCGTCCAGTATCGACTTCGCGCATGATCGGCGCGACTCGCACGGAACGAAAGTCCGAAAGCGTGAACGGCGCGCGTGCGATTCGCTTCTGGCTAGCACTCAGTTATGATTAATTGGAACAGTTGGAAAGGATCCCGCACGCGATTAATATAGTATGTGTGTGTGTGTGTATGTGCGTGTATGTGTGCAGTCCCGTTCGTGGCGACGAATATCGAGACCTTTTTCCTCCCCCGAAAACCGAAGCGCCCGGCTTAGGATTAAAATGGTAATGGCGCCGGCGATTCATGCATGTTCCCGCGCTGGAAATACTGGAAAAAGGAAAAAATCGGAAAGGTAAAACATACCCGTGTGATACGCCAGAATCAATTCCCTTTTATCAAACAGATTACGGGCGCGCAGCCGAACGTGCCGCATATTGAATGTTAAAGCCGACGTCGCTCCCCCGCCGGGGCACCCGAAAATATCGAAGATAAAGGGAAGCTTCTTTCGTACGGAAAATGGGGCTGGTAACATCCGCGATATGCTCGCCCCGTGTTTTGCCCCGGCACGTCCTCGAGCACTGTCGCGGTCTCCGCGAGAAACATTTTATTATTTCCCGTAATTTCCGACGCCGGAACCTGCCGCATCCGATTCTGCTTCGATAACGGTAGCGCGCAATCCCGTCAGTCCATTCATCTTATCCGAGCATCTCTGTTCCACTCCACCGACCCGGTGTTATACATTATAAACTAGTCTCTCGCTCACCCGCTGCTGGGAGATTATTTATGGTCGATCGGAATCTCTCCTCCTCAGATTACTGAAAGAGAGGAAACAAGGGAGGGAGAGAGGGATAGAGAGTGAGAGAGAGAGAGAGAGAGAGTATCTTTATCGAAAGTCCATTGATCGTACCGCCGGTGTCTCAACCTCTTTCTCGGCGGCAGACACATTTCCGTGTTCTGGAGTAGATGTTTTTCGTTCCCGCGGGATAACTCGTCGTCGACGCGGTTCGCGTCTCGATTCTCGCGAAACCGCTCGGAGAGCTTCTCCGATATCTTTTTGTCGCCGAGGAGGTCGATCCATGGAATACGCGAGTAGATTCCAGCGGTGCCATGGGCATTGAAATGCCACCGTAAATGCGGGTATCGCTCGCGCAACCCGATATTAATTAAAAATCCGTTTTACGCTCGACTCGGGTGATTTAAACGTGTCATCGCACCAACGACTGCACTTGGGCGTGAAATTTCGACGGGATGCCCCCGCGTGCCCCGATATCCGACGGCGGATGAAAATGACAGCGCTCCGCATATCTTGCCGCGGTAAAACCGCGTGGCGCATTACGCGCGTTTAGCAACGACTAAGTACACACGCGTTAATTTGTATGCAAATAGAGAGAGAGAGAGAGAGGTGAAATGTCAGTTGTGTGAAATAACCGTCGGCAAGCAAACAGTATATGTATTCAGAAAGCCGCGTGCCGGGGGTTAAAGAAAACATTTGTACACACGCGGTCTCCGAGCTGCTTTATGCCGACGCGACGAATCGCGTTTTGCATCGCGCGCGCTCCTCCTTATCATTTAATAAGAACTCTCGAAAGGTGCTCGGCGATTTTATAGAAATACCGTGCGAATCAGAAGAGAGACAGAGAGAGAGTGGCGACAGAAGTGTAGATAAAAAGATAGACAGAGAAAGTGAGTGAATGAGAGAGAGAGAGAGAGAGAGCTTGCAGGATTTACAATTTTAATAAACGCGGAGGAATGACACGCAATGGAGGAATGATACGTTCTCATTTCGACGACATCGTTCGGCCGTGATAGATGTTAGAATTAAGTACGTGCGCAGAATTCCGTTCTCTCTAAACTGCCTTTTAGTTCGAATTGCCGTTACTCAGTCCCGGTCGTGAAGAAGTGGAAACAGCGCGATAATTTACTTAACTCGAGGAACCGAGGGAAAACCGATTTTCCGGCCCGGCCAATAACAGTGAACTGATGTTCGGTCGTCGTGGTCAGCTGAACAAGGTTGACGCAGAAATGAGAAGGGCAAAATTAAACGATCAAATTATAGCAACAAGTATTTTTCTTCTTCTTCTTCTTCTTCTTTTTTTATCAGTTATTAGTGAATTACATCGCGATGTCGACGCAGTTGACACCGTTGCTATTTCCCGTGTCCGTCGACGCGTACCTGTCAAATTGGTGGACGGACGAAAGCGCTGTGCAATTTGAATCGGTCCCAAATCGCCGTACGGTCGAATGAAATTATAATTCGTCCACCGTCATTCGCACGAATAAAAATTCTTCGAGCATCTAATTTGTGTTACACCCGATTTATACCGACACGTTTTGACACGCTTCGTTAAAGCTATCGTAGCATATTAATTTTGATTGCGACGCGTAACGTATGCCGTTTAGAACGCAATCGTTGCGGTTGAATAAAATAGGACCGATCGACTTTATCGACGCGATAACTAATTTATGCCGAAATAAATCAAAACCCCCCTGAAATCATTAGTAATATATGTAATATATGTTTTTATGCGCACGATTATTTATTCATTGTATTTGTCAGCTGACATTCAGCGCATTTTTCACTCTTTATCTCCGGCCTCCATTTATTTGCGATTTCGAAACTTGCGTCACGGGCGTTGCACGTGTTGTGCGTATTTAATTTCATGTCGCTCCGCTGTGTTATTATGCAGAACGCGCATAATACATTATTAATAAATTATCAATAAATAATCGATATCGCACTGCGCGAATCTTTATTATCGCGTAATTGTAAAATGCCGAGATATTATGAAATATTAATCAAATAATGCGTAAAAATTGAAAATACGTCACGCGTACGTTGCCACTCATCTTGCGCGCTGATCGCTTTATTACCTCGCTTCGATTTGCACCTCAATAGAGAATATTGTTTTACCCACAATTAAACGCGATTCGGGTTTGCTTTTTCATATTTTTACCGAATATCCAGCGTCGATCCGGGAAAATATGCAAGGCAAGTGTCGATATATGTGTCGAGTACGCAATCTTGCGACACGCTGCTCGCAATAAAATCCTCACTTCACCGGAAACAATGCCAATTTCAGCGCAGATTTCATGTATATACATTCGACGTTTCTTGTCGCGTACTTCGCAATACGATTTCCCCATATTTTTAGCAGTATTCAGTCCCCCCCCCCCCCNTCGCCCGTTTTACCTTATTCCCACAGTCTGTTTGACTTTTCTCATCCAATTTTAGCAAACTCCCGCGTGCGTCCGCTCCTCTTCCCGATGTGATTCATTTCCTCATATCGGCGAAGCGTCGACGTTAGCCAGTCCCGCCGTTCGTGTATCCGTGGACCATGGAAAGTTTCGCCAAGTTCCGCTGATTACTCCCACTCAGTACTCTGTATTTCTTTTACCTTCATCCGTATTCATATCTCTTCGCTCCATGTGGCACGCATCGTGATTTCTAATCCACACGCTTTCGTCTCTCGTCGGTCCGCAGGACTCACATCCCACCGACTTGATTGATCGTCCTCGTGGTATGGAGTCCTCTTAGAGAGTCGTCACGATGTCTCATCAGGCCGATGTGTACAGTGGGAAGCGGAAGTCATCGTCTATGGACCGAGGGTGAACGTCATGGAGAATCAAACGGCTGATTACCATGGGGACGATTACCAATGGAACCATACGGCATCGGCGGGCGAAGGAGACGCGAAGACGGAATATTATCTGCCTGATTGGACCGACCTTGTTCTAGCAGGGTTATTCACGATGCTGATTATCGTTACTATAGTAAGCTATCGCTCGCCGAACGCACAGAAGATTTTTCTCGAGGATATAAACATTTATGAGTGAGAAAGATGCCGTAACAGTCTGATCCGAGCAGAATATATTTGTAATATCGAAGAAATTTCGAGGAAATATGGGAAATTTAAGGAGCAAAGGATAATACTGTACGCAGCAGTAATTTTTCCAAGAAGCATGGCAATTTTTCGATGGCTTTGAAACGCGCGCGGGAACAAATTTCCATATGTGTACGAATACATTTTTTCCGACACAATATGCATTGTTTTAATGCTAATAAAAACCAACTGAAAGTTAATTAAGTTATATGTAAATATTAACGCCTCGGTAATTAGAAATAATTTTAGTCAGAATTGCAGAGCCACGTAAATTATTATATCGTTCGCAGTTGATTTATATAGATTTATTTATTATTATCATATAGATTTATTTGTGTAACAATTCCTTTGCAAATGATGGTAAGTAATGCAACGCGGTTGACACGGTTAAAATCGCTGCTCAGAAATCCATAATGAATATCCCATCTTTCTGCTGTTATAAATAATACAGACGCGTATACACAATAATATACGTTATACGATACTACTACTCGAGATAAAATGTTCTCCCTTACTGACATTAGAAATAACGAACAATCCAAATTGCAATAAAAATACGTATGTTAACATAGAATATTTTTTTACTTTTCTGATACTTCCTTATACACGTACAGTAAATTTACCATCAGGTATTAAACAATATATCTGATTAAATTATCCACTTATTGATGTCATATATTAATTATGGCTTCAGTACGAGTATAATTTAGTCGCTCAATACAAATCTAGTAAATTATTTATTACTTTACACACAATATCGTGATAATATTAAATAATTTTCGGATGAGAGAACATCGGGCGTGCATATTCATCGGGTGCAATGTTGTAACACGGTCGTTTGAATTTTCACAGTGGCGCGGGTTTGCAACGATCACGACCTTTTCCTCGTAATGTTACAGGTTGGCAATACACTAGTGATTGCGGCTGTAATTACCACCAGGCGATTACGGTCGGTGACTAATTGTTTCGTCTCTAGCCTAGCAGCGGCGGATTTACTCGTCGGCCTAGCGGTGATGCCACCGGCGGTGTTGTTACAGGTACACGCGACGTTTACTATTCAGGGATTAATATGCAATAACAAGCACGTGCAAGATACTTAATTCGATGCCGACATCGAATCTCACGCGCACACGAGCTCCGTGCGCACGCGCGAACTGTCGCGAGAAAATCTTATTTAATCAGCGCAATATCGGCGTGCATCATTCGCAATGGAACAAATTGCGCGTGAGATCGTCGTAACGACATTCGCAGCGTCATTTAATTAACCACCTCGACATCTAATAATTAACCCGCGAACAAACGCATGCTATACCGTAGCGCTAGTATGACTTCTAATGAACATTGTCCGTATGCAACATGAAACAGCAATTAGCTGGGACGACAATTTGTAACACTCATCCCCGCATGTTCGTACTTTATGTTCGTAAAAGACAAAAGTGCAACGTCCGTTTCTTCGGCTTCCAATTATGAGAGCCTTCGGATTTGTGAACGTTTTGAAACGGCTGCATGTTATTTGACATAAAAGTATTCTGAATTTTTTATTATTATAAGATATTTATATTTATCGTTTAAGAAACCAAACAATCCTGTTTGTTGGATCAAACATTCGTTTGTTTGCTGCATTGCAAAAGACAAATTTGTCTTAATGAAAGAAATCTTATTAAATTCAAGAAGACCTTTTTCTATGAAGAAGATATAGCCGAGGCCGAAAATAACGATGATGTTAATAGGATTGATTTCTCTCTCAGCGTAGCCCGTTTAATTTATTCTCTCGGGTTTCGCGGATTTCTCTCAGCGTAACCTGTTATGTCGAATTAAAATGGTGTAACGCTTTAACAATCGAGGAGAGAAAGAGAGAACTGGATTTACAGTTAAAGCACAACTATAGGAGCCGAAGGAACGAACAGTGGCCCATTTTCTTTTCCCGAGCAAGAGCATTAGCTCGCTTCATCCTCGTAAAAATGTAGCACTTCGAAAATCGAATATCCCTTGATGAAGCTTACAGGAGGGACTTGGGAGTTGGGCGAGATACTGTGCGATTCTTGGGTCTCCCTCGACATTCTACTCTGCACGGCCAGTATTCTCTCGTTATGCGCCATATCTATAGACAGGTAAACGGACCGTACGCATTTTCGAATCTCGTCACGTAGATCTAAACGGGATTATCGGCGAGCGCGTACCGCCGGTCGTTCTACGTCTCGAGAATAGATTTTCTCGCCATTAAAAATGAAATTTCACGCGACGTAAATTTTCCCCGAGTTTTACGGGCTTGTGCGCGCGCGCTCCGGAAAAAGGAAGAGACGAAACGAAAACGGCGGCGGCGGACACGAATATATCTCCAGGCCCGTGGAAAGTTTGCTTAAGCGATAAAGTATCCTATTTTGTTGACTCATCGCCATGATCAGACAGGCGAATATCGCTCACTGGCGGGGCTGTTGCCCTTCTTATCTCCCTCAGATATTTTCGCCTGCGGTTTTTTCACGGGCCCTGCAGCCGCCCGTGTACGTGCGATAAACTGTGCGATAAAATTCGCGAAAAGCGGGATCTCTCGATTATCGCTCGAGAGGCCCGGCTGCATCAAATTCCGATTAAGCTAAGCGATTCACTCACAGGACCATCAACTGAAATTGCTGTTGCAGAAGAAATCGCACGGAAGGAAAGATTTCGCTGACGCAGCTAATCACCGTGCGGCCGAAGATGTTTCGCTGCTGAGAGCTCGAACTTTGGTCACTGCTGCCGAGTGTTTGGGTCCCACGTCTGACATATGTCTATTGTAGCCAAACTTGCAGGTATCCAAATATTACAACGGAGATTCAGCCAGTGTATGAACACCCGCAAGTTTGGCTACGGTAGATATGCATCGGGTCCAGTTACATCGCCTATACATCTAGTGAAAGTGACTGAAATTCTGGTTGCGTCGGCGAAATATTTTCACCTGAAGCACGATTCGCCGTGACGGTAAAATCTCCTCTCTCCGTGCGAGAAAGAGAGGGAGTCCGGAATTTCGGTTGCAACCCTGCGAGTTAATCGTAATTTTTGCTCGGGTCAATTTGACCCGCCGAGTGCCGGACCGTTAAGGGGGCTCTGTAAGATTATGCTAAATTGATCGCACCGTCGTCGGTGCCTTTATTCAAGGTATCTGGCGGTGACTCAGCCGCTGATATACAGCCGCCGTCGCAGGAGTAAAAGACTGGCCGGGCTGATGATCGTCGCGGTGTGGATCATGGCCGGGGCCATAACGAGCCCGCCTTTGCTCGGCTGTTTTCCGCGCGCGACCAACCGCGATATCAAAAAGTGCACCTACAACATGGACTCCTCGTACGTGATATTCTCGGCGATGGGCAGCTTCTTCCTGCCGATGCTGGTGATGCTGTACGTGTACGGGAGGATTTCGTGCGTCATCGCGAGCAGACACAGAAATCTGGAGACCAACGAAGCGGAGAACGTCCGGACGCGCCGCAAAGTCACGGTGAGAGAACGATTCGCGATTCGGGGATTCCCTCCCCGGAGAGGCGATCGAGGAGGGTGTCGACGGCGGCGACTTTCGTTTCGTGTTGTATTTCGCGTCGCGTGGCGACGTTTTATCGGGCGCTCGCCTCGCTGCGTAATTCCAACGGAAATCCGTTGACTTTGTCGCCGTCATCGCGATTGCCGCGGAGGGTTAACAAGTTTCCTCACTGGAAGCGGCGGAACCTCGACACTTCGATCCTTCGACGCTGAAACGTCCCCGTTCGAGCCCTTTGAGGCCCGTTTGTCCGTGTCTCTTTCCAAGACGCGATATCAATAGCACGTTCGTTGGAATCCCCCATTCGATGAGAATTTCCCGATTCGATAAGCCACGCGCGCACGAATTTGCGTGCGCGGCTCGATTTATATTTCAAGCGTGGAGGCTCGGAGAAAAGTGCTTCCGCGGAAAAATCTCCCGAGACTCTTCGTCGTCGTGCGAAACCTTTCCCCGCCGCGTTCGTTTTACAAACGGAACCCGACGGGACCGTCCGGCTCCTATAATTAACTTTTAAAACGATACTGTCGCGCGTACAGGAATAGCTTGAAAAGCGGACGGGAAGGGAAACGAGGAGGAAAAGGAGAGGAAGGTCAGTAGAACGTGTGTAATCAGCGGGGAAAACCAAGCTGTTTCCGCGACGATTAAATGCAATTACCATAACCGTTTGCTCCGAATGCAAAAGCGGCTCGCCTCTAATCGCGAAGGGAACGCGACGAAAATCAAGAATTATCTCGCTTTTAATGCAAAGCGTATCGCAATTCGTCCGACCGGCGCGCGTCGATCGAAGATAACGAAACCGTTCATTCTCTCCCGCTCTCATTCAGCGGGAGATTAGAGAAACCGACAGCCTCCCCCTTCCCCCCTCAGCCTCTTTTACATGAGCGAGCAACGAGCGCCAATCGTAATGGGAGTGACGTGGATTAAATTTGCATTATCCGGCCTTACGTGATCGATTCGTTATCAATCATTTCGCGCAACACGCCTTACACTATTTTCCTCGTCGAATATAATTCAGTCAGGCGCCAAGCTGCGTCACAGGCAAACCTCGGAGAGTATCGTCGCTTTAACGGGAAGAAGATAAAAGAATGATCACGAAAGGAGAAGAAATACCGAAAGAGAGAAATATTTCGGACGCGGGAGCGTGATTCAATCGGAAGACTTCTGCGATCCTCGCACGGGCATCAAAATGCATCGCTCGCGGAATAACGTCGTGCGTTTCTCTCGCAGATCGAACGTAACAAGAGCGTTCGAACGCAACGGACGGATTGCGTCGAGAGCAGCGTGACGTGCGACAAACCGTCCGAGGAAACCGAGCCGACGAGCATGTGCAGAAAGTTGGGTACAATTCGCGGTAATCAGCAGAGCTGCATCAACAGGGTCGCCAAGGAGACGAAAACTGCGGGTACCTTGGCGGTGGTCGTCGGCGGTTTCGTCGCGTGTTGGTTGCCGTTTTTCATTCTGTATCTGGCGACACCGTTCGTACCCGTGGAGCCCCCGGATATCCTCATGCCCGCTTTGACCTGGCTAGGTAGGTAGGTAGACGATCGCCAGGCACTCTCCGTCCTCGGACTCCTCGGCAAATCTGGCAGTCGATTTGGCTCTTGCAGAAAATCTGGCCTTAGACGCTATCTGCCACGGCGATCTCTTTCTCTCTCGTTCTTTCGGTTTCATTTCAACGGTGGTTTTCAATTAAGAGCGTTCCCAGCGATAAGAGACTCTCAGAAAACGGCGGAAAACGATCGAACGTGCGCCGATTGTGAGAGAAATATATTCGATGTTTGTGACTATAACATAGTTGCTCTTTCATAATAAAATAGTGAAATAATTAGCAGTCAGAAACATCATTTTTCTAGTAAATGTTATTATAATGTACTTTACTACATGCTTTATAGCGATACTTACTGCAAGCTATTAAAATATAATTAAATATAATTAGCTGAAAAATTACGTTTACTTGATTTTAACATTTTCTTCTGTGTACTATTTTTTCTGGTTAAAACTATAAAGGGAATATAGTTGAGACCGAAAGTTGCCGGTAATTTCTCTCAGTAGTCTAGTTTCCGCCGAAACCTTTCTGATCGAATTCTTCGGTACGGAGCGAATGTAGTGTGGTGTTTCCACTAGGAGCTAGTTTCCAGTAAGACTAGAGTAGTAGTGAAAGAGATTAGTCACATTTCCACCAACTTAAATTTGGTATTACACCGCGTCAGGTGCAAAGTACAATTGGACTGGGCTTTCGGTGGAAACTAGACTAAATGTGAAAGAGACGGGACGGTGAAAACCGAGCGGAGGGCTAAGTAGTTTTGAAACGCCACGTAACACGAGATATTTATTACTTAGGATGGATTAATTCAGCCATCAATCCGTTTATCTACGCCTTCTATTCGGCGGACTTCCGACTCGCTTTCTGGCGACTAACGTGTCGGAAATGTTTCAAGAGTAGGCCGAATTTGGATGGCACGAATCGGAAATTACCGACTCCGGTTAACTGGAAGAAAGACACTTCGAGGACGTGAAGATCCCCGCGCATGAGTTCCGAACTTGCTTAATTGTGTGGCGGCCGAAATTAGAAGAGCGACGGCCGACTGCGGTCGAACTTTATGTTTACTCGCAACCGCGGTGCATTGTCGAAGAATGACACGCGCGAGAACTATGCGCGTCTGTTCCGCTGGTAACCAGTCGATCGATTATCATTACGTCGTTTTATACGATACGTAAAGATTTCACTACGCACAATACGTTGGGATACGTGTAGCTCTACTGGAGGGAATCGCATGAATAATTATTCTCTTGGAGCGCAACGAACCACCCGGTTGGTCGTCGTAATCTCGTTTGAACGTTCGTTAGCATTTCGTTAACTTTCGCTCGAATGAACCAAACTTTTGCCGAAGCTTCTTACAATTTTACAATTTTACAATTTTATTTGAACAGATTCTGCCGGAGCGGCGTTCACTCATTTTCATTGTACCGAACACGCTTCGTTCCGTCGCTTCGCGTACGAAAAGGTGTATCTACGTAAGCCCTATTAAGAGGTTCGCCGCATGTGCTCGAGTCGAAATTTAGAATTTACGCTAAGTCTCACAAAAGCTGATTTGTGTCTCTAAATAATGTTCCTTGGGTTACAAGTCCTCCCTTTAATCTGCCGACGCCTCCTTTTCACTCACATTTAGCTTTGCTATCGATAATCGATATACCAAATACAAATTTAAATCTCTACTAGTATATTCTGGACACATAACTGCTATCTTTGCCCTTACGACTCCTTGCTTTTCATCCTCTTTGAGTCTTGAAATCCTATAGAAGTGTCAATGCCGATAAGAAATATATATAATATAAAGATACATGAAAGAAGAATATTTGTTATTTTATTTCTTCTTACACACGAACCTCTATTAGATTATTTAATACTTGCTTATATATGCTTAATCTATCTGCAATTAAGTAAGTTATATTATTAATACGTTACTTATTAAAATTAAGGATAAAAATTAAATGCAGGTAGAATATTGAGATAATCAAATATTGAATAATTTTTAGATAAATTCTTCTTTAAGCATTAATATGGAGGAAACGGCAGTAAGTAGCCATTTTTATCGTGAAAGAAAGACCATAGCCCATACAGTGTCATATCTGGAGATTCTCCGTTGGTCTTTCAAAAAATTCGATGGTATACGAGTATACAAGGTTCATGTGAAGTCCAAGTTTCGACTCGAGCAATACTGATGTAACACGAATGAATATACGCCTAACTTCCTGCCTTTAATAAATGTTAAAGAAAAGGCGCAACTTTTCTTATATCATGTAAACTAATTCTATCGATTAATCAAAATTAATGTTTTTTTTTCACCTCTTCGTATACGCGACGCGATAAATTTAAGGATAAAATGCCGTTTAAGAATAAATTTACCGCAATTCATGCAAATATATGCGGTATAAATTGATGCATATTTTTCATGTATGTATAATGTAGCTCGTCAACACATCATAGAAATTTCTTTGATATTGCGTCAAATAACTACTTTATTGACGTATCGGCATTTAAATATAAATGTATGTGAGTTCAGTGCAAACGTACTCGGAGCATGTAGCAGATTCTCCCGATGAAGACAGAGATTATGATGTGAAGGTAAAAAGTTCACGTCACTGTAATGTATAGTGATGTTTAATCTCACGAAAAAAGTAATGTATAATAGATTATACAATAAGACATATGACTGATGCCCAATCTGTGATCAATATCGGTGTAATCATTGTCATATTCATTCGTGGCATTTGTATACGACAAATAAGAAATTGAAACTTCTCCTGTTTAATCGCCGTATTATTGTACGTGTACATCTAGTCTTTTTCTCTCTCTCTCTATCTGCATTTATGTCTACGTAAAACATTTTTACATGCATATTTTATATTCGACATTCCAAGGAAAACTTGCTATATGCATCGAATACTTTTTACCGATATTTTTTGTCAATACTTCGGTAGAAATGTGTGATATATGTATATATATAATTTTAATATAATAATTTATATTTATTTATATATAGGCAATGTATGACATTACAGCGAAACATGATACGTATTAAAACATACGAATTTATAAATGTAAAGAGGGTAGAGAGTGAGAAATCATAAATTATATCATTTAGGACCTGATAAATGTTTGCAGCTTTTTGCAAATATTTACCTGTTTGTATTTAGAAAATTCTATTATTTTAGGAAAATGTTAGATATATAAATAATATACATTAAATTAATTATAGATATTATATAGTTAATTGAGAGTGTAGAAAAAGAAATTTCATAATCGATCGCTCAAGACTGTCTAGATATTCTACGTAACAAATTTTGCTAAATAGTAAGCCGACATATCATTTTTCATTTCTTATTACTTTTAATAATTCTGCATATATTTAATATATTCTGCGTCAGTTATATATCTTCGCAATAGAAGCCGAATTACGTAGACGGCGTAGTCTGGAACTTTAATATAGATTCAACTTCAATATTAAATAAAATAATTTATTTCTACACTGTTTCTATATATTCCATCGATTAACGTGTAACTTGACCTGTGAACTTGTACAGGATGTCGCGTAAATTAGAGAGATCTTATACTCTCTATGGGCTCTCGCACTCACAAATAAACTTCAATATATTATACGATGTATGTTATCCTAATTATCCAAAGTGTCCAGAGAGCACAAGACACCCTGGGATCAATTTGAATGCACTCAGGACGTTCTACGATACTTCCTGGAATATCCTGGATATGTTCGGGGTGATTTCGACACGTATTGTGCTATGTGACATATTAGACATATTAAATTCTTGAAACTATTTTAAGGTGTACATTTGTATATGGCAGATATCGCAACCGTTATTAGTTTATGTGGAGATAATGAATAAAAGTATATACTTCATACGTAATAATGTGTAATTGGAATCCTTTGGACAGCGGATTAACTTTGCAATAATCAAACATGGTGCGAGTATATAAAAATCAAAAATTAAAAATAATTTTCGATAATCGATTATATCTTTAAAATTCGGAAATAATCAGTTAATGTTTGTGAAATTTTTGCGTAATCACTCAATATTTATTAAATTGTTACTAGATAATTAGTAATAATTAGTGAGGTCAGTAGACATGATACGAAAAGACTTACAATCCGGGCTTGAACAAAAATAGAATTCAAATCTTGGTAAAATTACCTGATAGAATTTAGACCCGTTATGTCAAAATTAGACCCTTTATTTGCGGCTTTATTAGTTCCGAAGTTTCTGTTAGGAACCGCCACTTTCTTTAACGATGATTCGAAGTATAGTGTCTGAGAGGAGCTTGAGAGCGGCTATTGCATAAGGAAACGCTTTTATTTTTTTCTGAAGATATGGGTTTAAAACACGTTTATTATATTTATATTAAGTTTATTACTTATAGAGAGAAAAAAGAGAAAGATTATGAACCATTTTTACGCGGTACTCGTATGTGCTCGATATTTTGTGTCCATAAAACATGCATATAACCTAACTTACCGGCTTGAACGTGGTAAATCGATATTTAGGAATAATTTGGAAGGTTGATAAAAAATTTTAAATAGAAAGAGGAGTCTGTGGTAACTTTTGGAAAAAGTACGAAAAAATAAACAACTGTTACAATTAATGTATTGCAAAAATACTTCATAAAAGAGCGAATAATATTATATTGCATAATTTATCTTCGGAAAATCGACAGCTAATCGATCAAAGATTATTACAAAAATAAGATGTGTGCGAGGGGGAGGAATTAGCGTTATATTTTATCTGATTATCTTTAATAAAAATGTATCGTTCACTTATATGTCACTTATACGTCACTTATAAAATGCCACGCATTGATTTTCGCGATGCCGTGCGGCTAACTTTCGTTACTTAAATCTACGATCACTTTTAATCTCAGTTTACGAATGCACGAGTATAGAGACATGAGGGAGGACTCGCTCTAAATCTTATCTTGTTCTTCGGAGTATTAAGCCAATGTAACGAGACTTATCGAACATCACGCTTGCTCTCACGGTCTAGAGTTGCCCGCGTAAAAACACTTTAGTGAAAGAACGTTAGCGCGATATGTGATAAGTGACTCTGAAAAGATTCGCCTGATCGACTGGCATATCGGGTGAGCGATGATTAATCGATCCTCTAAGACGGACGATACTGATAAACGGTATTGTCCAGATTGTGGAAGGCCATTTGCTCGTCGATCCACCTGCGCCCGTTAGCTATGCTGGCGTAAACGCCGGGTGTGCCATTCTCGCCGCAGCCGAGTCCCCAGGCTACGATGCCGGCTTGGACGTATCTGCTCGGATCCTCCTTCAGCGGGCATACCAGAGGACTTCCGCCGTCACCCTGCGGGCAAAGTTAAACGATCACTCCTTTGAACGCGAAAGCGCGAAGAAAATTCTTGCCGAGCGGTTATGTGGAAATTCGAGTAATATTAAATCCAGGGTTGGGAAGTAACTCGTTATTTGTAACGTTGTTACAGTGACTTTTTCTCAGTAACGATTTGGTAACGCGTTATATTATTTGGGTAACAGTAACGAATATAATCGTTAATTTTATCGTTATTTTGCACACATTATTTTTGTTTTCTTAATGAGTAACGGGTAACGGTAACGAATTATTTTTCAAAAATAACTTTCCCAGCCCTGGTTAAATCTTAAATTTCAACTTTACTTTGTTCTAAAAGTGACGATTGAAAGTATTTGCCTGACGGGAGAAAAATCTGACGGAATAATGCACACTTCGTGCATTAATGAGAGTCTCTCTAGAGGAAGTGTTTCAAATTTACCTTGCAAGTGTCCTTCCCTAGTTCTCCACCCGCGCAGATGAAACTCTTGTCCAGAACGAAGTATTTTCCTAGCCTGGTAGTGCGCAAGGTGTCCTGGCAGGTGTTGTGAGGAACCACAGGGACATCCACCTTCTTCAAGATCACCTGGTAACGTCCTTCTTTGCCTGTAATTAGATGTAATTACGTGAAACCATGCTGTATCAGCCCGGGGCAATCTAAATTCAGCTCGAACTTTATTTGTATTATTGATACGGTACGTTGCGTTTCGAAGGGCTCTTTTAATCGCTAACGTTAACTTCTTCATTACTTCATGCTCTCTTACCGAAGACGTCTTTGCCCCATCCGCTGGCGAAACACCTCGACCCGTCAAAGATCGCGTTCGTTTCCGGTAGGCATACGATGTCCACGTTCTCCTTAAATTCTACCGGTTCCTTCAGGATCAGGATCGCGTAATCGTTGAAGAGTGCACCGGAATGGAACTTCTCGTGAACCACGACCTTCTCGACATCGCGATCCTGATGCGGGAAAATCTCGCTCCTCGTCATCGTGTCCCATTCTCCGGCGCGGACTTTCAGCTCGTGCGGCTGCTTCCTGTACCGATCGATTGTAACGCATCGTCCAGTTAAAAAAAGAAAGCGAAAGCGCGATGTCTGTAACGTTCTTTTTTCTGTTCTCCGCGGTGAATATAGTGTGTCCCAAAATCAACGTATGTCCTCAATATAACGGAAATTGCTCAGAATGCCTCAAAGAATCTGTCATGCTAAAGACGTTGATTCTGGGACACCGTGTATATTTCTACCGTAAATTACATTTATCCGTGAGTAATAAACCGACTGACCCATTGACGCAGTGAGCCGCGGTAAGAACGGCCTTTTGATGAATGAGGGCACCTCCGCACTGATAGACGTTCAATTTCTGGCCGTTGGTGCCGATAGGTTCCTCCTTCAAGATAGCCACCATCCAGGGAAACTCGCCAAACTGCGCCTCATTGTCGGACTCACCGGTGATTCTGAAGCCCACCCCTTCAGGATGTCGTTGTCCACATCCGATTCTCTCGATTGGAGGTGGCAGAATCGGCGTCTCCACCATATCTGGCGGCTTGCAGCAAACGTCCAAGTAGTTCTCACATGGTCCGAGAGCTCTAAATACATTCAATCAACGATAATAGTAACGTCAGAATAATTATTCCAGATAAATATTATTCCATAATAAAATTTCCAGACTTTCCCTTGTGAAAGATATGTGAAAAAGAATGTTTAAAAGATGTCTAGAAAACCGACGATACATTTCGGCAATTAAATCCACGAAGATATTTTAAACGGCGCTTTTTTTCCTTTCTTTAATAAATCGTATCGTAATATCATATAAACTCATTCAGAAATGTTATCGATGTGGATAATTATCTGCTATTCGCTCGACTTAATCGTTCATCGAGTGGTAACACCATTCATGTGAGATACACACACATACAATCGCACGTGCGGAGAACAACTGGAATATTGGCGCATATTAGCAGCTCCAGGGGAACCTGTTTTTCCAAAGATAAGATCTCATGCGACGTAGAGAAAAGGCATGCTCGAAACAACCAGCCAATTAGGTGGAAACCGCATTTCGCAATCTCCGTCGTAATAATCGGGTCTGATCGACCTGACAAATCGGAGCGTCTTTACACATACGCATGCAGATTCAGCCAGGCACGGAGAATAAAGCTTTGAACGAAAGCTTGAGTCGTGAATTGCATATTCTCGGCAAATATGGATTCCGGTCTCTTGGGAATGCAGGTTGCACTATTCTGATTCAAGAATGTGCCAATTAGTACAATTAAAATTATTCAGACGCGTGATTATACGTGTAATAATAGGAACGACACTCGCTGGAGAACACATTGTAGCGATGATGTCCTCGATAAGCGGCAACAATGACGCTTTTTCACGCGAAATACGTCTAATTGCATCGCCATTTATGAGTGTACGGTATTATGCCGAGCTGTGCGCACAACAAAGGAAAGGCAGCCGGCTCCTAGTTGGGCAACAGTAACACGGCAACTTCCGCTCTCCTGGCACACGATCATTCTCCATGTCTGACTCAAACCACAACTGACCACATTTGACACGTTGCGGTCGCACGCGACGACATTCCTCGCGCGAGGATTTCGATCGAATGTCAAACGACGGTCGTATCTATCTCTCGTAACTCTTATTAATTCTCGCGAAAAATATTTTAAATAAAAAAACAAATACGCGAAGATCAGGCGGGGAAGAACGAGAGGGCTGCGTCATCGTCACGTGTGGTCGCACACGAAGCCAAAGGCCTTGTCTTCAATCTTGCTTTTATCATTAGGCTTTAAGTTATAAGCAAAGTCGTAAGCTATAATCCTTGATATATTCAATCAAATAATTCAGAATACTTGCTTAAGCAGTGAGAAAACCAACCAATCACAGTCGAGAGTTATTCTCCGTCGTTTGAAGAATTATTGACTGCGACTGGTCAATTTCCTTACTGCGTACGTCTTAAATGGGAATTATCGATTTCCTTTACGTCTCATGGCTCACGGATTAGAGGAAGTTTCAAGTCGGATATGACGTCACTTAACGCTTAAGTTTACGTACTCTTAAAGCGAGGTTGTAGGCAAGGCCGAAATCATTGTTAAATCGTCAACCTCCATCTTACCATTAGGGGAGCGGGCGGAAATTTTGCGGCATGCCGTGGACAACACATCGCCGTCCGGAAGTCCGGAAGAGACTCCGATCTTTGGTAGATTGCACTTACCCCTGGGAGCGCTCATCGTTACCACCAAAACCGGACCTGATATCGATGATGTTCTGTCCCGACGTCACGATGGTGCCATCCTGGCACTGATAATAAGGCACGCACTCGCAGTCGGCCGGTTTCGGGGACTGCTTATTGTCCTTGCCAAGGATCAGCCCGCTGGAGGTGGTAGTGGCGGGAGGGGTAACGTTCCCGAAAACGTCCTTGATGAAGCTGTCGAGGTCGCCGCCGATCTGAGGCACCGACTGCGGGGTTGTCGAGCTGCTACCGAAAGCTTGGTTAACGAGGCTGTTTAAGTCGCCTGAGTTCTGTTGCTGCGGCATCGCCAAGCCCAGGCCGAGCAAGGCCAACGTGGAAACCAGTCGCCACATGGTCACGGATCCGATGATTCTAGTATGCCTACGAGGTGAACGAGAGGAGCCGTAATTACACGTATACAAAGCAATGTCACGAGGACGATCGTCGCTTGCTCGCTCGTTGGAACGGTCTTACGGCCGCTAACGACGTGCGAGCCGAGAAACCTTGCTGAACGCGTCCTCCCGCTGACGAGACGACAGGTATTTTCTTTTTCGAGACTATATATAGCGATGATTGGAGGATCGCGCCGAGAACAACTGCTGGCTAGGATTCAGTAACCGGCGAAGCCTTCATTCGCTTGTATTTGTGAGCGAACGTTGCGGCGTGAGAGACAATAATTCATTCGCTTCGACGATCCCGCTGTTATTGAGAGAATAATGTCGATGACGGTGCATGAGGCGCCGCATAGAAAAAAATATTCGTCGGGTCCCACGAAATATCAGCCCGCGAGTCTGACGAAAATCTGCAATAATAATATTCGCAAATATTGTTGCTCGTTATTTCCTCGTTGCTTCCTCGAAAAGAAAGAGAGATTAGATTCCGAAGTTGTAATAACCATGAGATGGAATGGTAAATTAGAACTTCATGCTCGTATTATCTCGATAATAATTTTCCTGCCGCTCGGGGTTCCCCTGGTTTATCGGAATACGAGATACACATTAGGAATGTAAAACGTAGTAGCGTGCATGATGTCATAATAATAGCAATTAAATCCGCGATAACCGCGACTTGTAGAAAAAAATAGGAATTTTTATCTGGAAATCCGTGAGGAAATAACGACGTCAGAAATTGTTTGCCGTGTTTAATAGATCTGTTCTTTTTCGCTGAATTGGCCGTACTAGCTTACATTAGTTCTCTTCTGCTTTTTCTTCCACCAAGTTTTATATAACTTATATATATACTTTTTTTAAGTTATATAAGTGTTCCTTGAGATTAATGTCTCATTTTTAACCTTCTATTTTCAATGAAAAACTGCTGTGATATTAAAAACTAATAAGGATATTATAGAAAAATTTCAGAATTTTTAACATTTCGTTTCGGAGATACAACTATAGGAAATTTATAGTAACGCCTGCGTTATGAGTATGTAAATATATACGTATTTAAATATTTATATACTACTTTTTATTATGTAAACACCTTTATTAGCTCAACTGACGTATAAATAAAGCATTAATAAGACAAATAAGAAATAAATATTATCTCCGTGTATGTAATATTGTGTATATATTTGTTTTAATTTCGCTCAAAATTAACATTTGTTACTTAGATGATTCAATAAAGTTATACGAAAAATTTCTTTCAACAAATAATAATAAACTTACGAAATGATTAATATGAATTATATTACTGAAAATCCGGCATTCTACGGCGAACTGCCTTAAAAGTGTGCGATATACGTGGATTGCGACAATTCAACTGCACAATTACCCAGGATATGCTCGAGGATTTCCTCGCGCAATTAGTATTATCTCCAAGACTCTTCGGCAATAAAGGTGCAAGCGAGCATGTGTCATCGAATGGAACTATTTTCTAAAATTTATCTATGCATACATAATCATACTCCGATACTCCTGAACGTTTAAATGAAAATACATGATAGTTCGCAATTCCATCCGACCGTTTAACCGTTCTGCCGCGTAAGTTCCGTCGATAGTATGCTGGCACGTTATATAACCGTCTCGATCGTAAGATGTCAGATTCATCCGAAATTGCCCGGCATCGACCTTCCGTCGGGTGACGTTATCGCAAACCAGTATCGTCAGTCTGAATTCAGCCAGCCGGTATTGACTGCTAACTTCGAATAACCCGTGCCACGCGAACCGCCAAAGAAATCAGAAATGTTTCCTATCGTAAGACGTTAGCGGAAAAATCTCACAAAGTAGAAAATAATTCATAAAATCACACTGTTTAATGTCTCACACGACGTGACGTTGAGAACTTTGACAGCGTATTCAGTAGTCGATATTGTATTATTATCGAGTACCTACGAAGCTCGCCGATACCCGAATGAATCTGCGATTCCAGCACGGAATCCGAAGTGGAACTCACCAGAGAGACGGAGGACACTAAGGACACCGCACGACGAGCACCTTCCACTTGGAGCGGTGACGCGCGTCTAATGTGATCCTGAGCGGTGAACCGTGAGCGGATTCCTCTGTACATCTATAGGATCCCTACTCCGAGCATTTATCACGAGCTCCCCCACCTTCTCGAGATGTCGATTAAATCGTTACCACACCGAGTAGAGACTTGGAGAACCGGCATTTCTCGTCCATGCATTGGCTCCGGGTTTTCCAGAAGTTCCAATGGAAGGTACAACACGCACGGTCTCCGTTCCTGTGACGTACCAACTTCACCTTCCCCGTTTCCTCTTGAATATCCGCTGTCCCGATTGGCTCCGGGCCAGGCGAACCCTTTCAGGCGGCCCCGTTCTCCAGGTGACAGGGAATTCCCCGAGACTCACAAACGATCGACTCTTTCCTTTTTACGAAAGTCGACACCGTGACGTGACTGTGACGTGAGAGCAATTCAGCGATAATTGCCGATGAATGAATAAGTAAACAGAAATTCGTGAAGAGAATTTGACCGATCCATTCATCGGCATTCGTTTCAACTAATCTTGTTCGGCCAAGCGAAGTTCCATGGATCCGATCGTTCTTTTTGTTCCATGAAGCAACCCGATTCTATGAACTGAACATTGGGAATCGTTTAAGAGTTCTCGACGAATGATTGCGACGTTATTTAACGCGACTCGCATACATTCATCACGACCAGTACGTAATGATTTTTGGTGTTAAGGTCAAGATGATAATGTCCAGACATGTGAGCATTCTTACGACAGCCCGTTCGCCGTGATATTTCGCCGTGATTCTCATTTTCACTGGGACGAGAGAAAGAGAGAGGAGATGTTACATCATATTAATTTAAGACTACAAAGAAATTGATCGGGGGTCAATGAAATTTACATAATCTATATATAAATGATTTGCATCATCACACCTAGCGTATATATTAACTTGTGCCTGTCTGCCAACAGGCTTCGTTTTATTTCTCCTGGGAGGGAGAGGATAGTAGAGATATAAAAATAAAACTATAATACAAATGGATTATAGAATCAAAGCCCAAGTGACGCGTCATTAATATTAATGTCGTGTGATTTATGACACATTTTTACTTATTATATTACTCATCTGCTGTAACTCAGTTGGAATCTTCACTGGACAAGAGAACTTATAGTAAGCGCTTATATCTGGAATTTTTAATTTTACATGAGAATATTTTAAATAAAACATTACATCAGGTTTCAGACAAAAGGTTTAATTCGATTTTCAATAAATGTCGTTATGTACATATAATACAGGGAATAATAGTTCCAGAATATTGGCAGAAAATCGTTGAAGAACAACAATTATTATTGAATTAATGAATAATTTGTTTTCATTGAGGCAAAATTTGTTTACAAATCGAACTGACTTTTTTGACTGACCCAATACCATGTGATGCGCAATTTTAATTAAAAAAATATAAATATACACTGTGTGTATTGCAATATTAAAAGTCCGTCGAAGGACAATCGATTTGTTCGATATCTCGTTAAAAGAAAAAATGCATAAATGCATAAAAGAAAAAATGTATAAAAATGTATAACTATATAATAAAATGAAAATAGGTCAGTCGACTAAGACATTGTCGCGTGCTTCACTTAATAGTCATTGATGACGCACGTCGATACAGGAAGATTGTTGAGATTGTTATGCTTCAACGCTGCACGTAATTCAGGTGACGTATAATCGGTCGACAGGTATTGTCCACAGGTGTTGCAATAGCGTTTCCATTCAGCGCTGTCTAATCGGAAATAGCAATTACCATTTCATCGAACGCGAAAAGCACGAATTACGCTATTTTATCATTTCGCTCGCGTCGAACGCAGCATCTTACAGAAAAATAATCGAGATTTATTTCACAAGGTTAGGAACGTCTAAATCTTCGGAAGGAGAAACTGGTTTTGCCGTTGGTAATATAATCCTTTTTATTTCTTTTCATTCGTATCTTTCTTCTTCTTTTTAAATACGATCTGAATAAAAACCAATATCTCGCCAATAAATATCTTTCCAGTAAAATTTATCCTCGCCAATAAAATTGGTTGAACATATTCATTTGGAACTATCATTTTTGCACACTATAGAATCTTCTTGAGAGAGATTATTTAAAAGTACAGATTAAGTATCTTTGAGTAAAAGAATTTTTAAACTAATATATACATACACAAGAATATTTCGTAACAACGCGCGAAACAAGTTCTTTTATTTGCACAATTTTTCCATTTTTCACATAATTATGTGAGAGAGTAATCGCTATTAATCTTTAACAGGAAGTCATGAATACGCCGTACGTAACTTAATTAGACAATTATCTTCACATCAAAATGTTAATAATGTTGTTTTATGCCGGCTCTCTTTCGTATAAACGCATATCTACATTCCAATATATTTGAAGCGCGCAATTTGATTTCGTGACGTTGACGCATTGCTCACTGATGGAATTAGTCTTTTGCGGAAATGATCTTAAGGCTCATATTAGGATAAATCTTCCGAGTCTATACAAAAAGAAATTTGTAACGAAAATATGTATAAAATCCTAGAATAGAACTTCCATATACATATATATACATATATAAAATTTTATCAAATTTAATTGTCGATGAAATAACATTGTTCACTATTTGCGTGCGATTACTTTAGCAAAATCTACAAGTTTAATATGTTCTGTACTATGTGTGCCGTTTTCTCCACGTGCTGACCTCGACATCTTCACGTCGAGCGATATTTTTGTCATTAAGAGATAAAATACATTAAAATAATTTGTCTTATCACTCATTCGTACTCTTTTATCATGTTTGGAGCACTTTTAAAGCTATGAGCTATGAGCTATGAGCCAATTTCGATACATGGTATTGCCGTGTGAATATTAGAAAAATGTTAGAAAAAAATGTCAGAAACTTGGGTATCGAAAATGCTAAATTTAAAACAAAACAGGTAACAATATTTTGTAAGAATCGGCCCAACAAGCTATACTTATGTTTAGATTGTTTCAATCAAATATATCGCACCATTCGATTATAAATGCAAAATGTTCCAAAAAGTTATATTTCGTTTGTTTCATAATAAACTATAATTTTTTAAGTATATTCTATTTTATTTTACAATATCTTGTTTATTATTTTTCAATTTTTTAAATTTTGAAATAAATTATGTTTTGTTCCATCGCGCATTTTATATCTTCAACATTGAATTTTCATAATAAATAACCGTTCGATTTATAAAAAAATCATAAACCAAATAATTATAATATATTTATCATTAAGCTGCACGCTGTATAACATTTTCGGTACACACGATGTGAAAGTTGCGTATAAACGATCCGAAACGAAACATGTTGATGAATTTGTATATACTGAATGACAACAATTTTTTAATTAAAAAAGTATTAAAAATATTCGAATCTACGCGTATTATAGCTAAGAAAAAATAATACGGTAGAAAAAAAAATCTCCCACCGTGACAATGTGCTTTCACATTGCCGTGACCAGGATTCGAACCTGGGTTACTACGGCCACAACGTAGGGTCCTAACCACTAGACGATCACGGCTACTGGAAGAGATGTCTGGAGAGACGAGAATTTAACACAAGTTTGGTCTCCATTTTCTTTTTCTTTTAATGAACCACAGATATTCACACTAAATTTCATATAATTGTTAATAATTTTCTTTTCTTTTCTAATTTATCGCGTGTTAAATACTTTTTGCTTCTTTATAATTTAAATAACTAAATAATAGGCTAAATAGTAATATACAATTTTTTTATTAAATATCGCTATGACTTAATATGTTTCCCTCTTGGTTACATCTTTGCTGGATGCAGAAAGTATTCAATTCACGCCCTACGACAAGGCGTTACTCCGTGCGCCGGAATATAAAGTCGATAACAGGCTATCAATAATTTAAGTACATATTGATCGATCATAACCGTGACAAATGGTGTCGCAATATCGTTCCTATTGCCGTATCGCGGTCGTCATTAATTCGCGATGAAATCACGCCAGGTTGTGAAAATAAAGGCAGGTATTAACGCCGAGAGAGAATTCATACTTTTTCCATGTAAATATAATCGACGTATGAACAAAAATTGATATATAACTAAAACTCCTTTCCCATTTCATTCATATTCCTTCCAACAATGAAATAAATTAAATATGATAAAAAAAAGAATAACTGTCCGTAATATTTATTCGTGGGAATATGTACAAAGTATTCACTCTGGTAAATAGAACAACGATGTATCTGGCCTTCGAACCTTTCCAGCGCGCATTATCATACTGCGATAAATTTTATTATGCGATTATGAAATCGTTGGAGAAGGGTAAAAGAAGAAGAACGATCGGATAATGCCGGAAGGCGATTACAACGCTATTATCTATTGCACGGTCCAAATATTTCACTAAATAAGGAGCGGTTTTATTCGAATATTTTATTCTTATCATATATATAATCATCACTTCATACATATACATGGTAAATAATTTACGCAAGCGATATTGCACAAGACACACATGGCAGTAGTTGAATTAAGAATAACATTATGCAGAGTTATTACATCACTGCACCCCGTAAGTCGCGAGCTGCTTGTCTATCCATTGACGGTGCTGCGACACGCTGGCGTAGACCGCGGGCACATCAGAGGCGCCACAACCGATGCCCCACGACACGATGCCAGCCTGAAACGGACGTTGATTCATCAAAGCTACCTGGTATCGTCCTTCATGTAATAATATTACGAATAACAATATATAATCCGACTTATACCTGGAAGAATCGCCCCGTAGCAGTCTGGCAGGCCAAAGGTCCGCCGCCATCGCCGCGACACGTGTCTCTATTCGCTTCACCTCCCGCGCAGATGAACGATCCGTGCAGCTGGAAGTATTGGCCCAACTTCGTGCTTCGCAAACGCGTCTGGCACTCGGTGCGATCGACGATGGGCACGCCGACTTGCCGCAATTCCGCTTGGTATTTCCCTTCAACTCCTGAAAAGTAGGGGGAAAGACGGCTTTGTTTTCCCCTCGAAACTTTGAAACTATACGAGGAAGGTTCGACGGAGGACTCACCGGGGGAACCGCCACCCCATCCTGTTCCGTAGCACCTGGTGCCGGCCGCGAAGACCATACCTTGTTCGGGCAGACAAATCGGCAGGACGTTCGCTCTGTAAACGACCGCTTCCTCCAGGACGAGGACAGCTACGTCGTGGAAGAGTCCGCCGCTGTAGTAGGTGGGATGCGTGATTATCTCGAGGATATTCGCTTCCTGAGCAGGCAGCGGTGGAGCGTTGTCGCTTGGGTTCCACTGACCGAACCGCGCCACTAGATTCTCAGGTTTCTGACTGCGGAAGATTCAGACAGAGAGAGGAGCTGCTGATCCTTCCTCCCTTCTTTTCTCTCGAACTCGGTACCGCGCGCGCCGGAGAGGGAACTCCGCGTTTTCAGTCTTTATACGTACTTTACAACGCAATGCGCGGCAGTGAGGACCGCCCTGTGGTTGATCATCGAGGCGCCGCACTGGAAGGCGGGAGGCTCGCTCGCGGATTTGGTCAGAAGCGCAACCATCCACGGGAACTCGGCGAAGTAGGTCTTCTCGGAGTCGGCGGGGAAAGACCGCACTGTGGGAATCGACGGCTGTTATCGGGATTATTCGAACGAGGTGCGACGTGAGAATCTCGGAGTCGGTCTCTGCAGAGGCTTAAATCGGATAGCATCGGCTGCAGTTTGTACTCCGACCAGACGGTACCGGCTTCGAGTTCCCTTCGGGAGAGACCCAAACGCGAATAGCTAAGGTTTACTCTCGGCTTAAGCCGGTTATACAATAAATCGTACGTCGCTGCCGGGTGCTCGGAATTTAGCGTTCAGCAACGGGAGAGATATCCTTTGGTACACGAAAGACTTAGAATGCATAGGAAGAGTAAAATTGTCAAAAAGAAGAGGAGGAAGAAAAATCTCCCCTTATCTCAGGCAGCGCATAGGCTGTGCCCGAAGACACTCGCTGACCTACAAAATAGGTCAATATTCTTCGGGTACTTGTTACCCAGAATACCGATTCGAATCCGAACGAATGCAGCACCGACGAGAGAACTCGTTGTCGAAAAAAGAATTCTCTCATCGGGTTCCGATATCCGATATATAATTTATTGTACAACAACGTCTCGAGCCAAGAACAACGCTTATCCCCGACGCGGCTGCAGCAGCTTCGAATCGTCGAATCGCACTTACAGGGCGCGTAACTGGTGTCCCGTACGCCGCAGATCGTCTGCGAGAGCTGGTTGGGCGCACCGTTCGCGACGAAGCGCTCGGGCGACGACAGGAAGGTTTCGCCGCTGCGAAGGATCTGAAAATCGATCCCCGTGGAGCGACAGCACACCTGGTCCGCGGACGGGCACGAGGTGAACCTTGGGTCGATTATACCCAGGCCGTCGGGGCTGACCACGTTGTCCTCCGAGCACATCCAGGTCCTGACGCAGTAGCAGGCCTGCCCTGTGCCCGAGTTCTTCAGCGGGCCCAGGACTTCCACGCTGGACGAGCCGGCGTTCGGGCAAAGTGGTTCGCTCGTTAAGCTCCTCGAGCAGAGGTCGGTCTGCGACAGGGGGAACCTGGGGTCTATCGCGCCGCTACCGACGAAGATTCCGCAGGTGATGCACTGAATGGTGTTGCCGCACACGAAGCAGAACTGGATGTGTCCGGGCGGTAAAGTGGGGGTGGTGGTCGTCGTCGTGGGTGCGGCAGTCATCGAGGTCGAAGGTGGTTGCGTCGTGGTCGCCAGTATCCTGCAGCAGACCTGGCCGATGCCGGGGCACAGGCCGAATCGTGGGTCTATTACACCCTCCCCGGAAATGGTGACTATTCCGCTGGGATCGCACAGCGATATCTGCACGCAGATGCAATTCAGATTCGGAGGCCCGGTCGGCCGCATTGTGGTCGTAGTGGTGGTGGTAGGAGTGGTGGGACCTCTCGTTGTCGTTGTTGTCGTCGGCGTCGTGATATTCATGATATTCGGCAGGTAACAACAGACGTCGAATGCTCCGGGGCATATCCGGGAACTGCAACGGGACCGTCGTTATTAATTGTACACGAAAAGAAAGTATCGGTTGAAATTTCATAACAACACAGGAAAAAAGAAAGAAGCTCTCACAGGTAAAAATTCGCTGTCTCTATGATACAATTTAATTCGAGAGATTAGATTAGTTAGAAATCGAGTGAATTTAGCTAATTTTACGGGAGTTCGAAGTTCGGTTCCCTTCAACCAAAACGCGTTTGTTCCTTTTTGTCACGCACATTGCAAGACATCCTGGAAAACTGACCCCGTCGACGTCGATCAACGAACCGAGCGCGGAGCTCACATTCGGACTCGGAATGCGGATCAATCATTAAATTTTAACGGTCGACCAACTCACCGGACATCGATCACCCCCATGCCGTCGGTGATGATGGTCTGATTAGCGTTGCACAGGTAAAACGGCACGCAGATGCAGGGCCTGCTGGTCATGGTGGGTGCGGTGGGCATGGTAGGTGCGGTGGGCATGGTGGGTGCGGTGGGCATGGTGGGTGCGGTGGGCATGGTGGGTGCGGTGGACATGGTGGTTGTCGTGATCTTCTCCAGCTTCTGAATCTGCAGCTTGTGCTTGAGCAGATGCAAGAAGAACAGAGACGGCGACCTGACGAGAGACGTCACATCTCGCGGGCGATTTTCTTGTCGAGTCGGTCTCTCGATCCGATCGCCGCGGTACGCGCTTTCCGAAAACGCGACGGCGAGCGTCAACGCGACGGCGACGTTAAGCAGCACGAATAACCGCAGCGGCATGACCAGTCGTTATTATCTGACGGCTCGCAGGTCTATTGAGCGATTTTTAGCACGAGCGCACGTTTATGTACGCAGGATGTGCCGGTGTTCCCCTGTTTACGAGGAAAGAGATCCAGATACGAGGCTAATAGCGTATCCTTTGTTACAGTGACCAATTTTTCGAAGGTAACGTAATACAATAGTAACGTGTCGCGCTCTTCGTACCGACGTGTGTTTAAAAGCGAGGTAAAGAGGCGGCGCAAGTTGCCGGACTTCTTATAATATACAATAGTACATTCATAATTTCATATACGGCAGGTGAAACTGATTGTAATATATCGCAATATTATACGTACTTTCAATATGTTACAGTTATAGACGCATCAAATTCAGATTAGGTACATATATATATATACTATAAATAATTATTCATCTTACAACTCCTTTCTATACGATCAAATATTAATTTTGTATTTAAATAAAATTGCTACATCACAACGCGAACCGACTATTCATTCAAGTGGTCAAATACAAAGAGCGACCTACTTACACGGCAGCTGTCGCATCAGAGGTGATAATCACTAAACATTTTTACGCACATATATCATCGGGTTGACATTGGATAACTCTCTGAATTAGACAATAGAAACACGTACCACTTCATCGTTGATAGTGCTAATAACAGTTTATGTAACAATTCGCTTAACATTTGTTAATATACATCAACTTTTAGTATCGTAAATTGCAAGATATAGAGAATGTTTCTTCTATTCTCTTTAAAAGAAAACAATATTTTCTCTCTATTCTTCAGGAAAGAGTTCTGAGAATAAATAATTCATAAAATATCAATCAATAATGTAACGTCTCAGAAAAGAACTCAATCAAGTCTAATGAATCCTGATAGTATGCGGAGGGTTCGCTTGTGGGAACAGGCAAAATTGTTCCGATTTCTGTACTGGTTGGAAAATAGCAAAAACTCGCGTAAAAATAGGTCGTCGCCGAGTGAAACATCAGATCGGTTTTTTCCTATGTATACATTATGCAGAAAGCACAGATTCCGTGAAATATCTAGTCACGCAATATTTAACGATTTATTGCCGACCCGTGTACCGGAGCAGAAAGTGTTACGTGCAGATTGTTGATAAATTCAGCGTTGTCTCGGATAACACACCGCTATCGAATGGAACTCCCCTTGAAAACGACTTGCATGTGCGTACAGGTAAATAAAATGCCCAATGGGAATGCAGACATTTCTTCTATTAATCATTATTGAACATAATACATTTTTTGCGTACATTTAAATAACGTGATATATTAATATCGTTAATAGCACTTAATTAGTTGATACAAAAAATTGAAACAGCGAGATGATTATGATTATTATTATTATGGCTGAATCAGAATGTGTAATCTTAAAATGTAAAAGTGTACGAGGAAGATACGTCCAGAGTGCACAAGATTAATTCCGAATAAGCGGATTTATAACAAAATAAAAATCCGAAGTGTTTGATCGACACGAGCTACCAAACTTGTATTCTGAATTTACAAAACAGCGTTTGTCCTGCGTAAAATTAAATCGATTGGATTTAACGGGCCCGCGAACGAGGTCGCGCAAGCGAGCAAGCCTCGACGGTACTCGAAGGCTAATTACGGCAAAATAAATATTTGTACAATTTCGTAAAATGTGCAAACTGAACGTTAGATCATTAGACGTGTGTCGGAATGAGATTCGCTTGCTACGGACTTTTTTTTCCAAATTCTTGTCTATGTATATGCAATTGCAATGTGTATGTAATGTTCTTACGTGAGACTACAATAGTTATCACCTGCTGCTCTTTCAGAATGTGACTCGGCGGTTTCGCATTACCATAACGTCACCTCGCGTTACATTATGAATCATGCGATATATATTACGACGGGCGTCGTAGGAACGGCGAAATTCTAAACTTTGGCTACGTGTGCGATTCAAGCACGAAACGCGGCTTCTTATTAATGTGAGAACGTATACTCGCATCATTATAAATGTTACGTCTTGGAAATCTAATTTATTTATATATCACGTATTATATCAATCTTCGTCGTTTTCGAGTAACTATATAGTAAGAATGCACGTAGAAACACTACATGTCTATGTGTCACTTTGATAACATCATAGAAATTTAATTTAGCACGTTACCATTAATTATAACATTTCGTAACAGGAACTCGCAATATTCTTACGTACTACATAACATCTCAAAAATGACGATACAAAATTAGAAATATTTACTGTACACAATCCTTCGTAATATCTTAATATTTTATATATATATTTATATCAATTTTCTTGCTTCCCTTGCTTTTTTCCATCTCTTAAGAAATCTTTCAAACATTTCAATTCCCGGAAATCCGCCATTCTGTATCAGATGATACATTGACCGATTAAATTCTTATCAGTGTGATACTACGGAAGACGACATTAGACGAATTTTGAATAAAATGTCATTTCGTAAATTGCGTGATACAAAAGAATATTTGAGGACTTCTAGTCGTATATAGATATGTGCACGTCTTTAAAACTGCAATACTGACTCCTCAAATATTTTCTTATAAATACAGATCTTTTGCTATTCTCATAATTCTGCGCCTTAAATACCATCACCAAGCAGTAAATCGTCTAAAATTGGCCGTAGAATTATATAAAAATATGAGATGAGCTAGATAAACTAAACATATGCAACCACTCTAATATAATTATATCAAAATTATCCTTACGATAATCAATTGTACAATTATACGAACGAAACTATCTTTACTGCTATTAAAACCGGTAAAAAAATTGACTTTTAATTCTTTCGAGGATCGAAATGTTTCAAAGACTAACACTAACTACTCGTGATGTAACCTATAAATAGTACAAGAGTAAATTTTAAAGATATCTAAGTATATTGACTATTCTCGTTTTGATTCAAGTATCCACAATTCTTATTTCATAAGAAATTAAACTGGCGGCGTACAGCACCGAATTAAATTAACTTATATTTAGCTTATTTGGTTGTTTTACATCTTGATACTATAAATGAGTAACGAAAAATAAAAGGCCTCTTCCATTTAATCTTTACCAGTACTAATTCTCATCTGTAACAGTAACTCAAACACTTCTGACAAAACTTCTGGTTGATCACCCACTTCGGCACACCATAAAGCTTCATTAAAAAAAAAAAAAAGAAAAAAAAAAGAGAAAAGTAAACGTCACGCTTTCTCAACAAAATTTGTGGTTCTTACATATGTACTTCGATAAACTTCTTAGAACAACAACTAGAAACATTATATTTTTTTTTTATAAGTGTACAGTGCGGTAACTTGACATATCTTTTAAAAACAAAAATATACAAAAATAGATTGATCTGTTTACGCTTCACAGTCAACTAATACAATGTTCTTTGTACTCGAGGTCTTCGTACACTCGTTTGCAAAACTGTTGGAACACTTTTTTTCTGATCAAGTTGAGAGAGCATCAAATGGTCTCGATTGCAAACCATCGCTCACGAGTTTCCGTAGTAATCCGTTACGACGGATCATAAGTGACGATATTCGAAACAACACCTGTAATGGAGGATTCAAAAGAAAAAAAAAATGTTGGTGTCTTTATTACATTTTTATCTCCCTGATAAAAGTATAATAAAGAAACAATATCTACATCATAAATTGTCAGTTAAGTTCTTGTCATAACGCCTTACAAGCTCGTAAGCAATGGCTCGCAATTATGACTGTTTGATGCGTTCCAAACTTGGCAGAAAGTTAACTTGGTCGAACCGTTCGTCAATCGAGTCTACAGTGTATTAAAGACGAAAGAAAAACGTGTCCTGTCGCGAATATTGGGAGAACGTCGAAAAGAAGCGCGGACTGAAAACAGGCGTTCGCTTTCCGCGAACTGTCGAATTCGCGAAACGAGAGTCAACGATGTAATAAACACGGACGCGGGCTCAGATGCTATTGTTTCGACGACCTTGACCGAATCGCGGTAAGGCTGACAGGCACAGCTCAACTACACGTCGTGTCCGATGTTCTCCGAACATGCCAATATGTACAATACGCGAGTTTGAAAACCGTCCGTTTCGCATTAATGGAGATGTACTGGAATAAAAATGATTTCGGAAATATACTTAGACATGTGTAAAATCTTCGATGAAGTACGATCATTTGAGATATTGTTACAGATTTGTGTGATTATAGAAGGCACAAAATTTTTTTCACGACGAGGACACGCTTGTACAAACAGAAACTAACATTAGAATAATTGTAAGCACATACAAAATTTACACAATCTCGCGAACATCATGTTCAACTAACTTTCATTCAACGAGAACGTTCAATCAAACGATTATCATTCTCTCGCTACTAGTCTGAGGGACGTTCGACAACGGTCGATATGCTTCCTTTTTGGCTACAAACAAAATATGGATTTCAAAGCTCGTCTTAAAAATCTGCGGATGAGAAATGCGCATCGTGTAATATCACAAAATTTTAAAACCGAACATTTCATATAAGGCACGTATTATTGCCATCAAAGTAACTCGCCAACAGCGCGATTGAAAGGAAACGGGCAGCGCAAAAAGTAAATCTGAAAAATTAGTAGTATCACTAGCTAACATTTGCGAAATAAGATGCAATATCGAGGTGGATAAATTGTTTGATCGTCGAAACGTTCCGCCGAACGTCATGGTGAAAAATAAATAAAAAAGAAAAAAGGAGGAAATAAATTAAAATGATTCGCACATGTACTTAAATGGACGCGAATGGTATCAACTCTTTTATATATGTATATATACTACGAAATAAATTTCCAACTGGAAAATATAGGATATGCTGTAATACTGCTAATTATAGAAATGTCTAGGTAAAGTTCTACACTCTCTCCCTCTTAGTCTAAGGTCATTATTGTTGCATTCCGAAGTCAAGGCAAATTAAGAAACGCGATTTTCTCTATCTGGTGGGCATGTAGAGAATAAATTATATGTACACGATTTTTCTCCGAATATATACGACTTCCAGGTCAAACTGTCGGCATACCAAAGCAAAGAAATATCTGTTTCTTAGTAAATCACAATTAAATGTAACATACGGTCAAAAGTATCATATTCTTGAAAGTTTAAATGTGTCAAGCGTCGATATATCTGGATTCAAGGAAACTCGCGCGTTCTTCATGCCGATGCACTTATTGGCACACGTGAGGAGAAAATGGCACCAAAACCCATATGCGTTCTTTTTTAACTCGTCAAGATATAAATAAACATATCGAGAATCTTTGAGATACAGCTTCTTAGTGACCTCCGGCTTAAGAAATTAAATATATCGTAAGCGCCTATTCTTAGCATTATTTCAGAAATGTTCAGCTTTTCGTAAAAAGATATCAAATATCTTAACGAAACTATCGCCCGTTTACAACACATCGCGCAATCAATTCGCTCGAATTCTTTAAGATCCCTCCCCGCGAGCTTAATCGCTTTGTCTTCCTAATGTTTTTTTCAACCATCACGATTTAAATCTAACTTATGATTTACTCAACGGAATTGACCAATCGTATTGGCCAATTAGTTGAAACTGGTCAATACGATTGATCAATCCTGTCAAAAGAGTGTTAATCGTCGATTATAGATTCAAATCATGATGCGATAAAACGAGCATAAAGTAACTGAATTGCACTCAAAATGGAGTAACCTTATTAATCAGATATATATATATATACACATACATACATATATATATACACACACACACACTATATATATATATATATATATATATATATATATATATATATATATATATATATATATATATATATATATATATACACACATACACACACATATATATATATATATATATATAATAAAAATGTTCTCATCATTGTTACAATACAGTCAACGCAAGCAACGCAGGCGCACTGAATCATTTCGTCCGATTTAATCGCGCGACTTAAAGTGCGCTTAAACTGTTCTTTCTAAATCGAATTTCACTTTCATCAGCGCGATTTCTACCGCGCTATGGGAGAACGCGGGGGGAGTAGCATGAACCATACAAAATGAATTGCAAAGTCAAACTTGGTTTTTCCGTTTCGAAACGTTGCGCGGCACATGCGAGCGAAAATGTAAGATTGCACCAAGTATTGTCAGCGTATACGAATAGGCGTAAGAGTTAAATAAGTACAAAAACGTATTATTGTACGCGAATATCCTAGATTTTACGACGAACCAGTGTCCAGTTGTTCCCATTGGTGCATGCGAATCGAGTCTTTCCAGCGTGTTTATACGGCTCGGATCGATTGGAGAACTCGTTATTCTTTCCTGAGAAAAAGTTTATTTATTTACTTACTTATTAAGGTAACAAGAAAGAGAGAACGATAGGACTATGCAGCGAAGAGAAAAAAGTTCGATTTTCCAAGTTTCCTAAACCCAGCAATCCAAATTAGATATTTATTCGATTTTTTATTATTCGATTTGTCGATATTTATAATCATTAAAAAAAAAAGACAATATATTACAAACACAAAGTAAATTAGAGAAAAAATTTTGTTGTACTGCTTCATGTTTTATTTCGCCACAAATCAAAGGTAAAAAGATTATTTCTCTTTTGGGCACAATCTGTATCTTCCAATTTGACACAATTTGTACCTTACAATTAGGACCTTTATACAATTCTGCTATCTGACCAGTTAGTTAATAAAATTAGGAAATGTCTAAACACGGATCGTACTCGCACTTCTTGGAACGAGAACACAGTCCGCCTGTAAACAACACGTTGTGCATCCACTTACTTGCCACGTCGCTTGCCCATTGAATTCCTCAGGAGTTTGAAAGCGTTCGCCGTGCTTATAGAATTAGGGTTGTAAGGTCCCTTCGGGCAGTATTTGACGGTGTGCGCCATATCACCGCATGCGCCGCAGATCGGGCATGTGTAAGCCCTGTCAAGTACCAAAAATCTTTTATTTCACATTTCGATGAAGTATGCGAACGCTCGACGTAACAAGATACGGAGTATCGTATTCCGGGAAAACTGTTTTTCGCCGAGAACGTTCAAGCACCGTCAAACATCATAAAAGACTATTTATAGGAATACATTTGGAGAGCCGAGTGTAGGACATAAAACAAATATATAGATATCCTCCCTTTCGTTTCTCCACTTATAAGCGTCCATTCAAGAAAGTTATTTAGAATAACTACCGTACAAGGTAAATCGTTAGGAGAGCGGTTTTTATCGTTCTACTTTTAACATTCGGTTTTCTTTTTCGATCGTATCTTCGTTTATGAAGATAATTGCTCTTGTGTATCGTATAAATTAATTTTTGACATACAGTCTATATATTCTCTTTCGAAGATTTCTCTAATATTCAAACAGAAATAAATCTGCGAACGAGATCCTTGATCCTCGGTCTTGCCTCGAAAGTTTATTATAATTACGGAGAAATGTGAGATGAAATTAGTGCGAACACAATCCATACCTTAGAACAGGACACTGAACTCGACCGTCGACGTCTTTCAACAAATGCTGCCGGTAATATGTCTCTTCCTCGCCATTATTTCGGCAAAAAACACATTCGGTCGGTAAAGGTTTCTTATTTTTCTTTCGTCGAGGTGTGATCTGTTTTGTTACGTCTGAATCCAAATCGGGACAATACTCGAAATCACGACCGTTGTGTCGAAATTCTTCCATTACATCCTCAACTATAATCAACGATTAAATAATTAGTGAGTCGCAGCATAACACTATTTTCTACGTTATAATTTAAAGGAAAAAAAAATAAATAAAGAATACATCGAAGTAATAAATAAATTATATCATGAAAATATATGATACATCATATAAGTAATAATAATATTGCACGATAATGTATCGTATAATTTGTATTATGTTCGCTTGGGGCTTAGCATTTTGTAAGGTGCGATATACAATTAATGATAATGGAAATACAGGATAACAAAAACGCAATACTATGTATAATATTGAAAATTCGTCTAAACACGATAAATGAGGTCTTTATTAAAAGAAGTGGGAGGAAGGGGGGGGGGAACGTTAAATCAGGAGAATCTTTTGCTTTCTGTAGCTCTGAAATCACAGCCTCAAGTCGTCCTCAGTGCAGACCGAGACCAAAGACCACGAGTCAGATAAGCCATGATTTGTAAACACACCGCCGTTTTGAGGACTGACGGGTTTACACAAGTGTATATATATGTATATATACTGCGCGATATACTTTCGCCGAAAGCTTTGTCGTCGTCCCGGTTGCTTTCATACGTTCATCGGGGATCTCAAGAAATTAAGCGCGATATAAACAATCCTTGCAACGACGTGAATAGACCGCCTTTTGTTTCGTCGTTGATAAAATATGCCGTTCGCTCCGCGGCCGATCGGTCGGCCCTTTTTACCCGGAGTCGCGGCGGCGACATAAAACGCACGTGCGAGATGCGAAAGCAGATTACGCCGGCGGTGTGCTTTTTCGTCCGAGATCAGTCGAACGCGCGACACGTGTTTACGTCGACGCGCTCAATGTCAAAAGCCGATCGACGTCCCTGCTGAGAAAATGACTGCGTCGAAAAATGTTCGTTCGCATTAACGCTTTATAAATGTCGAGTTTTCTATTTCTCTTCTCACAATCCCACGATGTGTACTACGTAAGTTAAAATAAAGAAAATGCGTGCGCATGCTTGAAACCAAAATCCGTATATTCTGAACTCACTTTTGTCGATAAAAGTGTACCTCTAAAAGTGACGTAGTAGGAGCCACCTAATTGGTCGAGAGATCACATTTAAGGCATTTTTATTGATAAAAGCTAAGAAATATGTACCTAAATGTTGCACCATAATTGCATCAGATAACGCAACCGTGCGAATTACATAACTTTCTAACGAACTACGTATCATTTCTTTAAATAGAAAGCCGAAACCTCATAAATCTCCTATTAAAATTATTGGAAAGCCACTGCTCGGCGATCACTGAGAAAGATTACCTTCGAGAGGTCATTAGTTTATTATACAATTATTATAGTTTCCCCCGCCCACCTTCCTCCGATATCACACGCTATTATTAACGCGAGTCTCGATTTAGGCATAGAAAGGCACCTGTTTTTTTTTTCCTTTTCCAAACGCAAAAATATTTAAACGTGCGTAAAATTTACGAACGTGCTTTCATCGGAAGTGGCAGACTCATTTACATTACTTAAGCGGCAATAAACCCGAAGTTGCGGAGTAAAAAAAAAAAACTCCAATCTCAAAACCAACTTTGTGTAGGATTTAAACGTTATTAACCGTAACTCTTAAGGTAACGAGAATGTTTCCAGGTAGGACACGTGTCGGGTACCTTGACTCTTTCTAGAAACTTTGTTAAAGAATCTTTCCCGAAGTTTCTAGAAAGACTGATCAGTCAGGATCATAAATCAAAAATTAAGCGCTGTGATCAGCGTCATCTAGTGTTTCAATGAACACTGGTCACCGTTCGATATTACTTCGACAAATAAAAGGCATTATTCAGAAGTAATTAAACGAACGATGAGTAGTTACGTTAGTTAATACGTTAATACTACATACAACACTACGGTACTTAGAAGCTCGTGGTGGTACAACTCACCGTTTTGTTGAAATCCTTTCGCGTTGCTAGCGGCACAGTTGTCGAAAAGTCGCTTCATTTCGTCCTCTAGACTGGGATTGAATGGAAAAAAGGAATTTGACACCGGTACGGTCGGCAACATAACGAATGAGAGCATCATTTCCATGTGGCCAGTTATTAATTCACCTAGTCGGCTACAGTTGCAAATACGATACTTTCGGCCACGGTTGTATATATATAATATATATGCGTGTATATTTATATATATATATATTTATATACAAATTTATCCCGTTTATCACGTGGAGCAGAGTGCGATTGAGACGTAACTTAACCAACACAACGAACCTCCTATCTCAGCGTGCGGACAATAACTGACTGAACGTGAAGAGCAAGTGTAATATAGATACTTGTAGCTTATACGCTGTGCGTTGTTAGGAACCCCCTCTTTTCACGCATGCGCATTGTGAGTGGAATAATGGCTCCTACACACGAAACGCGGAGCTTGTCGCACGGCAAGAAGCGACGCGGCAGCCAATCAACGTGCCGCTTTACCGTGGAAACTGAAAACTGATTAACTACCATGTCGCTTCTTGCCGTACGCCGAGGATTTCTCATCGAAACGAGTTTTTGGCACCATCTAGCGGTGTAACGTAAAATTTAGGAGTGCAGTTCAAATCTCAACTAAATGGGGTTCGAATCTTGGTTAAGTGACATATCGAAATTTAGATCCGTTATTTGAGGATTAAATTCTTTATTTGCAACTTTCTCAGTCTCCAACGTCTCCGTTATGATTTCTAACGATTTTAATGAAAAATCAAAGTCGTAGTGTAACTTAACGATGGGATCAGGCGTACTTTGATTTTTGAATAGTGTGAATCAACAATGGACCAAAGGCTTTTTTATTTTCAACTTGTACGACTTCACGGCACGTTAGACACACTTTCATACTCTGCATCTATTAAACTATATATATTTGTAATTAAATTAATGAAAAAGAGATTTACTCTATTCGATTATGAAAAATAGACGGAATTCCACGAGCTGTATAATTAAGGCAAAAATAATTACAATAAAATGATTCAAGAAACATTTTACAGCTTGAAGTTTCTACTTTTCATCTGCCAAAGAAAGTCGTGTAATTATTTGTTCATTTTCTGTGAACAATCAAAACTGGAAAGACGTTTTCGCTTCAATCCCGCATAACTCGGTGAAAAAATATCGCGATGAAATTCCCAGGTACGGGAATTAAAGGGAAAGATCTGCAATTTGAAATGGTGTAAACGCTATTTTTATATGAAGTTTCGTTCGTGCGACACAACTTAATTCCAACAAAAATTTTAACACCGACGAATCTCGCTTAATTCACGTAAGCACTATAACAAATTCACGTAAGCACTATAACAAAATTCACGTAAGCACTATAACAAATAAATAAATTTCATATTTCGAAAATATATCTAAAAACTATAAACTTTAAGCTATAAAACGCGAGCGATCTCATTATTAAAATTTTTGTCGTGATTACAGTACACGTAGAATTTTATCTATTGCTGGAAATTCTAAAGAATGTTTCCTTTAATTTTTATGCATGATACATTTTCAAATAGTAATACTGAAGGTCGAATCAGAAAAAATTTATTTCTCTTTTATTTCCAAATATTACGGCAAAAGATGAAGGACGAAAGAGAAAGAAAGAGAAAGAGAAAGAGAGAGAGAGAAAGAGAGAGAGAGAGAGAGAGAGAGAGAGAGAGAGAGAGAGAGAGAATCCGTGACTGAAACAAGTCAGGTAATTTCACTAATCTTCATCTTTATTATTACTGTGTAAATATGTAGGCACTGAACAAATAATGTTTCATAATTTGTTTACAAACATTTACACTTACTGATCTCCTTTTGTTCAATCAATGAATATTCTTCGCGAAAGCGTCCCTCGATCGGTCGAGGTTGCTTGCATGTATGCGTGTGTCTTCACCGTCTATAATACCCCAGCCTTAATAATTCTCACGGCAAATGTACCAGTTGTCGTCCAGGGCATTGTATGCGCACGACTCCAATTTCTAAATCGCGATCTCATTAATTACTTCGTCAATATATATATATATATATATATATATATACATATCCATATTGTGTATATATATACACACAATATACATATATATATTTCACTTTTATGTATGTATATTTTAATCTCTATCCGCTAAATATATTGTTCTTCTAAGACTAAAAATTACCACGATTACTTTAAAGGTAAATATATATATATATTTATACTTCAGAAAAATCATAATTAAAATTAATAGCAATTATGATGTAACGTATCAAATATATATATATATATATATATATACACATATATATATATATATATGTATATGTTATAAAGGTAGGTGAGGAGAAAGGAAGGGAGGGAAAGGAATTGGAGATAGTTGAGAAATGATACTAAAGATAAAAACGCAAATTCTAACTTTGGCTAAGAAGCGACATTCCGCGATTTTAAGAGCGCGACGTCGGCCCTTCTCACGACTCCGCGTCCGTTATCGCGCCCTTTAATTTCGAAATATCGGACTAAGTGAAGAGAAAAATTGGTACAAGTCTTTAGGGATAAATGAGCTCGTGAAGATGCGTGTACGTGTGTCGATGTTTTCAGTGACTGTTGCGTGTCTGCGACTGTACATGTGTGTTGGTGTGTACAGTGATCGTTCATCGGTGAGAGAATGTAACTTTACACAGGGTTAAAGTAGTTTGAAGTATTATCGTCTAGTCGCTTCAGCCTTTTCTGTGTCTCAGGTATAAAACTAAGGGGGGCGGCTGGCTAAGCCATCTTGTAAAACTATATTCATATATTTTCTCTCTCTATTGCGCTCAAGTGTGTGATAAACCCTAAAAATGTCTTTAAACACTTCAGGCAGGTCGACAGGTTTGACTGTTCGTGCGTGTTATACATGAGACACTCCGTAACCGGCGTATTATCCAACGAAACGTGCGAACGCGGGTGTGACGTCGTATCACCGATGATGATGATGATAATGATGATGGAGATGATGTCGATGACACTGGCGATGACGATGATGATAATGACTATGATGATGGTGCGCGCGCGTAATGTCGTCAATGAATTCACTTGCATTAATTTAATGATCATTCCGTAATGTCGATGTCGCGGTGGTCCGTTTTGGAATAGCTATATATATATAATTATTATAAATATATTTATATGTATATTTTATATATATATATATTTATATTTATATATGTATAATAGGTCCATGCGTTTTTTTTTTCTTCCGTTATGCGCGTGTAATGCAACGTGTAATGACAATGAAGAGCGTGTATACTAGGAATGTACATAGTGTACGAAGATATTAATTAGGTTGTGTATAAAACGATGATACATACTATTACTCGTCACTCGTTTATATCAAACGACACAATTAATTATGATATCGATTTTTTTTTTTTTAGTCTCATGGTACGACGACCGCGTTTTAAAAGCGCGGCATCGTTCGCCAATAGGCTAGTCTTGTCCTGTCGCACAATGTAGTCGCGATCACGCACCCCGCTAGCTCTCCCTCTCTCGCACTCTCTTTCTCTTTCTCTCTCTCCCTTTCGCCCGTCGCGTAACAATAACGCTGCACCCACGATGCGTGCTTATGATACAAGAACCTCCAAATGAATGGCCATCAGTCTTTGAGCGTACGATTTGGCATACACGCGCTTACACTGCGTCGCTCTACGACACGCGTCTCGAATCAGAGTCGAGAGACTGATACGTTTTTTTGTACTTTAACAATAATTCGCGGGCGCTCTTGTTAAAAAAGGAAAAATTTATACACAAATATATATAATCTTGGGTAAAAATAGAAAATATGTAAAGATCCATGTGTCTCAATATATATATATATATATATCGTCGAGATAAATTCCATCAAGGGGTCCTTCCCTGGCTTCGTATAATAAACTTAAAAAAACTTGAACTAATATAGTGTGTACAATAATAATAATAATAATATAATAAAATAATAACAAAAAAAAATTAAAATCCTCCCAATAAGATTTGAAATGATTCTCATTTGTTCCATGGCTCAACGTGGATTCTCAAAAACATGACCATCCATTCGGGACAATTTGTATGGATCATTATTATTAAATATTAATACTTCTAGTCGTATACTCTTGCTAGAGTAAAAGTGGTCTCGCGCGTCCCAGATAAACCTACCCGGACGCCGTAGGCAAATACAGAGTGTTTCAGCGCATGTATGTCTGCTTCCTTGATATGCGATAGATACTAATCTAACAAAACTTGTCCTTACATTTCTCACATTTGGTATGTTTTAGTCTTATTTTACTTTAAAAAGAAAAAAAAAAGAGAAAAATATATATAGAAGAGAAAAAAGAGAGAAGTTGCTATCTCTTGCTTAATACGTAAGCTCAATATGAGACGCAATGAGTCTGATGAAAATATTAAATTAAACAGTGATGATGAGAACAGATCTTTTCCTTTCATTTCTGCCGGTGTTTTGAGAGATAATAAAATTATTCTAAACGTGCGACGTGTGTTGCTGCGTATAATATAAAACGATTTTATATATATATATATGTATGATAAAAATAATCGAGCCGGAGCACTCGTAAAGTAATCGAAAAACTTCGCTTTTTGCGTCCGATGGCAAAATGATATTTCGTCAAATATACAAAGTAGACTAAAGAGAGTACTTCATTCGTCGGATAAGTCATCGGCCGAGTCCGCCGAAAATACTTTCTCTCGTAGAGCCCGCAACGTACAACTGTGGTGTGTCTGTGAGCGTATGTGATTGTGAGTTTGTGAATGTGTACATGTGTCTCACTGAGTGCGCCTCACACTTATATAATCGAGAGTATCTCGACACTTAACGTTACGCTTTTTCCCTTTTATTTTTGTATTTTTCTTCTGTTATTTTTTTTTCCTTCGCTTTTCGTTTACCTTAATAGTCAGTCGACTTCGGGGTCCGTTTAAAGAGAGTAGGTACATATACATTACGCATTCGTGTACAAAGAATGCGCGACTCGAAGTATTCTCCCAATGCTATTATCATACACCGTCGTATTTACACGTCTCGCGATATATTCGCCGTCTTCCCCGCTCTTCCCCGTCCACACCGAAGTTTCTCGACGACGAGATGAAAGCCGTCGTCTCGGCTTCCCGCGTACTTCGGATTGCTCGCTCGTTCGGATTACTTTACAAGTACCCTCCGCGATAATAAATCCTCTCCAATGCAACTAAGTCTTATATCATCGAAAAATATCATCGGAGATATACCTCTACTATACTATTAGTTCTTACTTAGTTTTACACACCTTCAGCGAACAGGAATACTCATTTCCAGTCAATGTCTCATGGAGTACGGTTATTCTAATATGGATCTTATACATACATGCATCACACACACGCGCGTGCGCGCATACATGTATATATTTATATTACAGCACGCGCGGTTAGTCTGCTTTTTCACTTGTTCATCTAACTTAACGTAGACACCGCGCGCCTGTGTGAAAGCTTACGGAAAAAAAAAAAAAATAAAAAATAAAGTAAACTAAACGGAATCGCGTGTTGGTATACCAACAAGGCATTTTCAATAATGCTACTTCGATATCATTCCCCTTGCATTTTTACAACGAGGATCCAAAAATTGCACGACGTAAAAGAGTCCCCACCGTTTCTCCCTCTTCTTCATCCCCCCCCCC